AGCCAGACTCTCTCAAAAGCTGAGAAGTCTTTTACTTTATGGCAAGAGAGGTGAGCTCATTTCATGAAGAAGACCTGTCCCTATAGCAATAGGTTTCACATGTTAAAACCTCGACCATTGTAAATGGTTACAAATTAGTAACAGGTGCAGTGGAAGAGACATTATATGTAAATCACTGAAGAAGAAAAGAGTTTGTAAATCTTTCCCAAAGCAAGAGTTTAACAGCAAAAAATGTTGAAGATGAAAACCATAATATAAATATGTTAAAAAGGCCGGACACTTCAAGAAATAAAAAAGACAAGCAAAGGCTAAGCCTTAGAAGAACTCTCCCATTTTTTATACAAAGCCAAACTTTTGTAAATACTTAGATTTCTTAACTGATAGGTAAATAGACGGAGCTCTCTCTTTAAAAACTCCAATTTAATAGCCTGTGATAGCACATACAAAATTAAAATACAACTGCTAGGGCCTCTTATGTACAGGCCCAACCAATACGTGTATATCAAATTCACGAGGTCCAAGTGATCCCTTCCTCTTTTGAATGTATATCACCTTTTCTCTCTCTACACCTTCATCTGTGAACTAATTTATCTCATATAATTTCTAGTACAAGTTATCCTTATTTCCTATTTATTTCCTTCTCTTTTCCACCCCCACAGTCAGTATCGTTTGCAAAATGTCCTAGTAACAGTTGTGGTGGCATCAAAATGGTGCACTGTGTCAAATAAAGCTGCATATCTCAAAGCCTTCTCTGTGAAACACTGCCAGAATAGCATTTAATACGGCAGTGTGTAATGAAGCAATATGTGTTCCAATGGCTGCATTTTGGTGATAGGCTCTTCTGAACATTATTCTGCATACCTTAAAAATCAACCCATTACAGCTGACTAAAAAGTAAAATAAGTAAAAGTCATACTGGTATAAATAACCTTTTCTATTTCTTTATAAGTAGAAGTATGTGTCCTTAACAATCAAATAAGTGAGTTAAATTTTGATAATTTCTAAAAATCCTAGTATCCCTACCAACTCCCCTGCCTCTGTGTTTTTGAAGATCAAAAATTAGCTAACTGGAGAGCATGGCCAAAAAAGTGTAATGATGGTCACTTAGATGAAGTCTAAACATTTATCCATGCGTAAAGGATTCAGTCGTAAGACTGCACCAGAGTTCATTTTAGTTCTAGTAATGTATTCTTCATGAAAGGTGTTATTGATTCACTATCAATAAAGCATACATAGATTATTTTAGGTGACATCCTGCTATTTAACCTGTCCCAGCCTTTCGTGTGGCTCTAAGATTACAGGCTGGAATTAAGAGTGACATCTATAATTATGGAAGAGAATAAAGCAAACTGGCTTGTATGGGTTAAATACCCTGATCTGTCTCAGTCTCTCAGGCAAGTAACTCTTGAACATCCTCTACTCTGTGCTTGATATTCTAAAGCTGCTAAAGAGTCACCACTATGCCCAACTTCAAAAACTAAAACTTCCACAGATAAATCATTTCCATTTTTCCTCATACAAGTCTTCAAAGGAACTTAGCTGAAGCTTATTACCTATGAGTCTGTGTTTCTGGATTTTTGACTAACTTCTGAAACCCATTATCTTTCACATCTGGAGCAAACAAGACAGCTTACAGGAGAACTTTCCACTACGTCATGGTGGCTACTACTATAAACTTTAAGGGAAAAAATAGTTAACGGTTGGTAAGTAAAATGCCGTAGTCTTCCACTGACATACCGTATGTTCTTAGTTATACCACATTAGTAGCTAAATCTATCACAATCCTTGGCAGGGTAAATGGAAAATCCCTCCAATAGATGTCTGTGTCACCATCCTAACCCCCTGTGGCACCAGACACTGAACCTAGAGATGGTTCAATTATCACTGAGGATGGGAAATTCTAATTAAATGAACAAATTCAATGTAAGTGCTTACCAAGTTCTAAATCGTTTAAAAATATTATTTCAATCCTCACAATTAATATTATCCCAATTACACAAAATAGAAAGACAGACTCGTTACTAGGAAAAAGTCACACGGTTTTAGGTGGCTTAGTAAGGTCAGAATTCAACCCAGATTTGCCAAACATCAAAACCCATGCTCTTATTTGTGCAATTCTCTGAGAGCAGAATTCATACTCAGTTCTCTCTCCTTCCCTGGAGTCTTAGAAACGTTTCCACTAATTTTATACTACACGACAGCATTTTTTCCCATCCTTTAAACCAGTTTCCTTTCTTCCTTTTTTCTCTCTTTACATAAACTAAAAAGAACTTTGACTTTGTTCTTGTATTCAAATTTTTCCCTCTTATAAGTGTTACTATTAATGCTACAGGCACATCATTTCTTCAAGTCAAGAGTAAACAGCAAACTTCTCTGCCCTTTGCTGATCACTGAAAGGTCTTAGCTATTGGTCTCAAAACTAGAGAACAGCTGTATATGTACAATGAGTTAGACATAGAGGCTAGTTTCTCCTCAGCCTTAGGTAACAAATGCTGATCAAGTGTCTGCTAAAACAGTCTATCTGAAATTACCAGCTTCTTCATTTTTACACAAGTGATGAGAACCACGGTAAAATGCAAAAACATGATATAATTTTCAATGGATTTGCTTAGGTAGCTTTGCAAATAATCACTACAAACTAGTTTAATGAAGTTACTGCTGATGGCATCTCACTAAAGAGCTGATTCTATGAGTCATGGGTGCCACTTTTGATGGAACAATGACAACGTTTGAGACACAGTTTTATTCTAGTTTCTTTGTAGAACCTTTTTTTCAAACAGCTAAACCTTTTTTAATGGCCTTTCCTCAATGGTGTTCACTTGCTAATATTTTCAGGATCCAGGTTCTACTAGTAAAATTTAGATAGTAGGATGTATTGCAAACGTATAGAACCTTGAAAATTGTTGTACAACAAATACTGTTTGCGAATGAGAAAAAATAAGCAAAAAATATATGGCATGTACTTAGACTGAAAGAAGCAAAGATTTTTCTGTATTTGAAAATAGAGAAATCACCTGCCTGAGCAAATAAATTCCTTTTCACCACACAAGTAGTATGTGCACATATATATGTATACCTGTACACACTGTCATATCCTCCATCTATTTTTCTAAGGGCCCATTCATCTCATCTCTTCTTGTGTTCCCCTATTAAGATCTCATAATAAAAGGCTAATATGCAATTCGACTGAACAGCAGGACCGGTTGCTATGACGCACACTGAACACCAGGGGGCAGATGCTCAATGCAGGAGCTGCCCCCTGGTGGTCAGTGTGCTCCCACAGGGGGAGCACCGCTCAGCCAGAAGCTGGGCTCATGACTGGCAAGTGCAGCTGCAGTGGCGGGGGGAGCCTCTACCTCCGTGGCAGCCCTAAGGACCTCTCAGGGGATGTCCGACTGACTGCCAGCTTAGGTCTGCTCCCCGCAGACATCCCTCAGGGAGTCCCAGACTGCAAGAGGGCGCAGACCGGGCTGAGGGACCCACCCCCAGTGCACTAATGTCGTGCACCTCTCGGGGGATGTCCGACTGACTGCCAGCTTAGGCCTGCTCCCCGCAGTCAGACATCCCCCAGGGAGTCCCAGACTGCGAGAGGGCGCAGACCAGGCTGAGGGACCCACCCCCAGTGCACTAATGTCGTGCACCAGGCCTCTATTGGTATATAAGTGCTCATATCTCACCACTTTTTGGGATGTTCGCTTTTTTTTTCTATAATATCCCTATGTGCATAACATTAAAAATGAATAAATTTGTACACTTGTTTCCTGTTAATCTACCTGTTGTCAATTCATTTCATAAACCCAGCTATCAAACCTAGGAGGGTAGAGGGATAGTCCTTTCCTTCCCAACAGTTTGAAATGTTTAATGAGGAACCCAAGATTCCTGCAATGGGGTCTTTTACCACTTCTTAAACTCCTGTAGAAACAGATGTAATAAGTCAATACATTTAGGAAAACTTATCCTTGAAGGTAATTTTTTTATATCACTAATATTTGCCTTATTTTATTCATTAAATCCACTCTTGTTATAGATATCCTTTAATAATTAAACTACAGGTTTAAGGTAGCCCTGAATGAGCCTTTTAAAATTTAGTGTAATGTAAACATTTTTAAATATAGTGTACAAGTATACTCAGCTAAGGCTCCATGCACCAAAGAACTCAGAAAATAATATCGAGCGTCTATTTTCTTAATTATCCCAAAGACAGCACATAACCAGTAGACTCTAGATCAGTGGTTCTCAACCTTCCTAATGCCGCAACCCTTTAATACAGTTCCTCATGTTGTGGTGACCCCCAACCATAAAATTATTTTTGTTGCTACTTCATAACTGTAATTTTGCTACTGTTATGAATCGTAATGTAAATATCTGATATGCAGGATGTATTTTCATTGTTACAAATTGAACATAATTAAAGCATAGTGATTAATCACAAAAACAATATGTAATTATATATGTGTTTTCCGATGGTCTTAGGCGACCCCTGTGCAAGGGTCGTTCGACCCCCAAAGGGGTCGCGACCCACAGGTTGAGAACCGCTGTTCTAGATGCACAGGAGAGAAAATTCATTCCACGCTGTAGGTGCTTTGAGATATTAAAGGGCAATTCTCTAGTGGAGCCTAATTAAGAAATGACCAGATCTTATATTACTTAAATATTAATCAGATTCACAAATGGAAAGTGTTTATGTAGTTGTGGTTTCCCAGCTGTAAAAAAGCAATGTTTCCAGGAAAACACACTCTCAAAAAAGAACATTAACATTGTGTCTGGCAGCCTGTGTAATTAGGCTCTGAAAAGACTTCTAAGAGTCCTTTAGGAAAAAGAAAAAAAAAATGAACAACAAGGACTGAGACCAGTCATGTTTTGAAACTGGAAGTTCTACTACACATCAACTATCTTCATATTACTAAAGCCCATTTATTCTATTTTATTTCAAAGTTTCAATGTCAAAACATTACAGTCACATATATAAGAACATGTGGTAATATACAGTTATACTTTACCTAAATATATCAATCCAAACCCTCCAGCACCAATCATCTTGCCCAGCACCCATTGCTTTCCTTCCATATCAACCAGAACCTTGCCTTCTGGAAGTGGGACAGGAAGTTTGTATTTCTCATTTCTTCTTGGTGGCATCACTTCTGCTGGCGGAAGACGGGAGAGGTCAGTGATTAAAAAATAAAAACAGCAGCAACAAAATATTCTGGTCAATATACATTTCTCAAAAATGTCTTCTAGGGGGTACTTTCCCCGGTTCCTAGAAATTAGGATTCCGGTCACTTGGGTTTGTTCAAACGGAAGCTTCACATATATTACAATGTTGAAATCTACGAGGTACTGATGGTAAAAAACAAACAAACAAACAAAAAAACATAACACAAAATGCAAGCCTGTTTAACTTAACGCAACATTTCCAAAATTCATTTGGGGGTCCATGATACTATCAACACCTTAAGAACTGAGTTCACAATTTCTGATGAAAAAGAGAGAATAAATTTTACACGTTCCTTTCACTGACATGAGGTCTTGGGTCAGGAGGAAATACAACTATGGATTGGGAAAATGGCAATGTACACCATTGCCAAACCCAGCAAAGGACACAGAGTATTTGTTAAAGAAGCTGGGGGTTTTCGTGGATTTATGACTCATAAAAGGATTTATAATTTAGCAGAAGTCTAGGCCACTGGGCAGTCTCAGGCCTGCACACTCCTCTTTCAGCTCCTTTCGGTTTTTCTATGCCCTGTCCCTTCCCCACCTTCTCCAAAGTGAAAACTGCCCTGCCTGAGAGATTAACGTGGTATTGGCAACAACAAAAGCACAGACCCCACAGAACAGTCACACAACTTGAATCGATTCATTATACTTGAACACAGGTTAGTGAATTTCACAATGAGAGCTTTTGCACTGGGAGAGAACATTTCTTAGGGGGTGGAGGGGACATATATGCCTGAAACCCATTTAAACGTGAAGGTAACTGCAATCCTGTATTTCCAAATAATGTTTTTAAAGTGTTGAGCGCTTCTGAATAAAAGTTAATGTAAAGTTCCGTTGTATCATCTTCCCAGCTTCGGAATGAGAACGTTTCTGTGCTTTTTAATAGGCTTTCTGTCCTTCACTTACTCTAATCCAATGCCCTGCCAACTGAAACCTCTAAGGATAGTCACCTGTCCTCCTGCTAACAGGAGCCCAGGGAAGCCGGGAAGTTAGATGGTGAACGAAGCCTAAAGTAGGAAAAAGTTTTGTGGGGCTTCCCCTGAACCAGTACTTGGTATTTACTAGTGTCCAATCCATATTCGCTGGTTTAAAGCCTAAAAGTCTCCAAAGAACAACTTTCTGCTGGGCAAAAACTCTAAAGAAGTCTAAACTAGTGGATAAAGGCAGTTAGCACGCGAACTGGAGACCTGAAATGAAACTGACTCTGAAAGGCACCTCCCGGGCGCGGATCCCGAGTTCCCGTTCCCCGCAGCCTCCCTCCAGGCCAGTGCCCGGTGTCCCGCTTCGGGACTCCTTCCCGGGGCTGTGAAAAGGCTCCACGCAAGCTTCCGGGGGGCAAACCGGCACCAGAACCTGAACGCGAGCCAGGACCGGGCGTGGG